GGGGGGGGGAGGGGGCAGCAGGTCGAATATGCGCTGAGATGCTCGAGTATGTGGCCACACGTGAGGAAGTGGATGTTCGCAGTGTCCTTGCTGAAGATGAGAGTCAGCCCAGTCTTCTTTTCCAGTGCGATAAAAGACCTAGCTAGAATGGGAAATGGAGAGGGGGACAGAGGGAAGGGGGATTTCGAACATGAAGACTTACGAAAATCCAAGGTCAGAGCATGGCCCTATTGGGAGGTCCGACGTAACAGAGAATGAGCACTGTACTGAAGGGCGGGCGGGTTCTCGTGTTGTATCACTTCGGGTTGTCTGCCTCAAAGGATGCAACCCGCTGCGCCGTGGAGTCCTTCGGGTCGGCCTGAGCTGGACAGACACAAGAAGAACGACGGGACGGGCGGGTGATTCCTGAGACTGCGAAGAAGAGAAACGAGGGATGAGGTCGAGGGGATGGGAGGGGGGGAAGAGAGTGACAGAGATGAGAGAACCGAGGAGTCTTATTGGGTGGGGGAGGGGGGCAGCAGGATGAAGGACAGCTGAGCCTCTTCCGGCGCATTGGGCTGACAATGCCTTGCGGATGACGTCTGGGAGGCGAGAGACGATCCTCAGCCCAACGGCTTCCTGTCCACTAGGCTTCGATACCCGGTGTGTGTTTCGAGGGCATGTTTCGTGGTTCTCTTTTTGATATCTCATATTATATATTCTACATTCTACATTCTACATTGTACATGTTATACTTATATTTTATTTTTGATATGATTTTTTGTATATTTTATTTTCCATATCCCCCCCCTTTTCACCTCCCATCCCTCCCCTTCTATTTCGTATCATCCCCCCCCACCCCAATAATCCCTCTCTTAGCCCACGAAACAAACCCTCGGGCTGCCATTTTTAACAGCATTCCCACACTACGGACCCGAACTACCTACGACACCCCAAAAGTGACGTCGACCCGCCCTGACATATGTACGGGGCCCAGAGGTACATTTGCTATCTGCTCGCCCCGTCCCGACCCTAGCCGTACGCGGTGAAGGCGCGATCCATAGCTAAGGTACGGAAAAGAGTCGTTATCTCAGGTACCTTAGTAACCTGACCTTACTCTCCCGACTCGGGGAGCCGGGTACCGCCGGGTTTCAGGGCGTAAAGTATCAGTTATGCCGGAAGGGGATATATATGCATGTCTGTTCATATGCGGTATCCTGTGGATTGACTACCTACTCGGTCAGTCCTCTACAGTCTCGATCGCTATCGCAAGGTGCACACACACCACTTGATCTGAATCGTGATATATCTAGGGAGTATAATAATAGTAACCCGACCGATGATGGTTCCCGCTGCATCCACTAGTGCGCCCTTGGGTTTGGGCGGCGGCAAACTTTCTTTCTTCTGCTGGAATAATCGATTACTCGCACCCTAACTTTACCCGCCTCCCACCGAGAGCGAATGGTCCAGGTAGCTCGAGAGTCGAGGCCTCCATACAAACAAAGGGAAAAAGAAAAAAAACTACCGTGAAACATCCAGATCGGTACCCAACCAGAACGACCCAGCCCAAAGAAGATCCATACCTAGCACCTAAATCCCAAGCCCCATCCCGCAAAGCGTCGTCTTTAAGCCAGAGCACCCATCGGGTCCCAGAGCGGCAGCACGGTCGGCTTCTGCTTCAGGATGTCTCTGATTTCTTTGCTCACGAACCGAGGTTCCACCACCGCCTGATAGCAGAACTCGTCCATCCATTTGTCACTCATCACGAACCAGCCCTTCTCGCCCGCTGACTCGCCCCAGGAGTTCTGCACCCTCCACCGCACGCTCTTGCCGTCCTCGATGTGAACACCCGTGAGAACCATCGCGTGAGTCATGGCGCTCTCCCCCACCATCAATCTCTGAGCCTTAGACATCCCTAGGCGCACATTGAAGCCGAGCTCGTAGTCGATAAGGTCCGTGTCCATGATCCCCGACCGATTGCTGTACTTCCCCACGTCACTCCCAAAGAAGATCGGTAGGCCAGCTTTGAGCATATCCACACAGGCGGTTTTCAGGACCGACATGGGGACATTCACGTAGGTGATGCCACGGCCGCCGACGACGTTCCCAAGTCGGGAGACGGTGAGGAGTGTGTTGTACTCATTTCTGGGGTCATTTACGAGGGAGAACATGCTGTGCACGCTGCTCCCCGTGATACGGACTGATTTCGGGGTATCTAATTCCTTCGCGAAAGCGATAGGCGTCGTCTTCAGCTCCTGCGCGACGCCGTTTTTGTCAAGGAAAGACCAGGTGAATTCTGTGGTCGGGGATGGAGGAGGACCGAGGGTCAAGGTGAGGATGAGGTGGATCTCGCGTATCATTTTCTCCTTAACCTCTATGATATCCCTCACACTCTTCGTTGCGTCAGCAACGAGGGCGCGCAGTTGAAGCGCATCTTCGCGCAGTTTAGTAGTAATGAGGCTGTTGATGGAGGACGAGGATTGGGCGTTGTAGGAGTCGGTATAGAGAACTTGCGGCACCAATCCGTACTTGTTCACTAAATTGTAAACCATATCCCACTGTCCACCATCGTTAACGGGTGCGGAGAGTAGGGTCTGGACAAGGCGTTCATCCAACGGTTCTCCCGCGGTATCGAGGATCTGTTCCAAGAAGAAGTTGGCCTTCTCAAGCTTGTCGTAGAAAAACAGATAGGCCTGTGAGAGCTCGAAGGAATCGAGGTTATATCTCTTCATCAGCGCAACCCGAAACACATTCGTAGAAGCGAAGAGCCAGCATCGTCCGCTCTGTCTCTGATTGGTGATCGGTGCCCCCTCGAAGGGAATCTTGACATTGAAGACATGCTGGTCGGAGATGACGGTGGAACGGGAGGTGAGGACAGTCTTTGGGTCTGCGGAGGAGAGGGCCGAGAGTGCGAGCCTGTCTGCTGTGAGATGGGAGCGGGGAAGAGTGGGACGGTGAAGGGGCATACCGGTTCTTAGGGTCCTGCAAGAGTTGACGTTCCCAGTTCCCAACATCTGGAACTGAGAGAGAGGTCCACGGGGCTCTGAAGTTGGTGTTCTTGAGGGCTTCTTTCTCAGAGATGGAGGTGGAAGTGGAAGCATCGTCCTTGACATCCAGAGCTTTTAGACGCTCGATAAGCAGCTTCTCCTGGGCAACGGGGCGTGGGGGGGTAGATTGGTTTGCTCCCATGATGAAGGTGGAACTGTTGAACCACTGGCAAAGATCTGAGAACAATTAGTATGGCGGAGTTGGATGAGGGACGTATTTGGAGGAAGACGGAATGTGTGGGTGAAGAAGGGTGGGAGGAGTTCTGGAGCGAGATGTCGGGAAATGGCTGACTCGAAAGAATTCCTTATCGCGGGGGAGGGGTTCGCTTGAGAGACCTTCGAAAGACCTTCCAAATGCGTGCGCGCGGGTACTCCACAAGGTACCAACCGACAGTGCTAGGCCCTCACACGGAATCATTAGTTTTTCATCGCATGTCATTATCATCACGAGGGGGGAAGAAGTAAGATAGTTCTTAACGGCAGCATTCATTGTGTATCCTATCTATCCACAAAAGAAGCAAGACGTCCCGGGCATATCCATCCTCAAAGCCACGGATCAACCACCTGGGCGAGTAGGTTCCAGCAGCCAAGTCAGGTCCCATAGACCGCCGTTGATATTCATCCATCATTACGCAACTCCCGATCACAAATATTTCCAATTTGACTCCCCTCTGCTATGTTCCCAAATCAAGTCACCGCTTGGCAAATTTGATTCATGCATGATACAACAAGAAAAGAACGCTTAAAGACGAGAACCATGGATGACCTTCATGTCGACGACCAGCTCCTTGCCATAGTCATTGATGACCAGGGCGCGGACGCTGCCACGGCCAGACTCGAAGGCCTCAGTGAGGCGGGACCAGAGGTTGGACTGGTCCAGAACGGGGAGGGCTTGCTTGACATCGCCAGTCTCGGTCATCGCGACAACTAGATCATGTTAGGACCGACAGACACAATGGACAAGGAGCCACTACATACCTGTGCCATCTTGAAGGTCGAGGACCCGGTATTGCTTGAAGACAGGACCCAGCATGGTCTGGACGATGACGCTTGGGCTTGGGTTGGAGATGAAGGATGACTCCTCATGCAGCTGCTTGGTGAAGAGATCAACACCCAAGTAGCGGTGCTGGCCAGTGGAGGGGGAGGTGGTAATGCGGATGACCTGGCAAGGGCGACCTTGAAGGATCAACAGATCGCCGAGGCGAATGTGGTGGGTGGGGATGGTGACGGTGTTGGGAGGTTCGGATGATGATGCCGATGAGGCGGCACGGCGGGGTGCACCGCTGCCTATGGTAATGTCAATCTCTTCCCTGTCATAGTGATGACGGGGACCCCCGACGATGCGTTCTGCAGCGCGGTGAAGTCCATGACGGAAAGAGTGGTAGTGACCTGAAGCTATTTAGGATAGGAGAGGATGAATGACTGAGAATGACTTACCATCTTCATCGTAGTAACCCATCTTGACGGAGGAGCGAGGAGTGTTAGAGGGAGGGTTGTTGGAGCGAGGGTCGACGGTTTCTTCTGTTGCACGGTATTCCTCCCTTACTGTAGTAGGTTGGAATCGAGGTGGGTCGACGGTTTGTTCTGTAGCACGGTATTCCTCCCTGACTGTAGGTTGGAATCGAGGAGGGTCTACGGTTGTTCCACCCACACGAATGTCTTCGGTGAAGGTTGGTTGTTGTTGTCGTTGAGGTTGGAATCGAGGAGGGTCGACGGTGGTGCGGACTTCCTCGCGGTAGCTTGGTTGGAACTTGGATCGGTACTGACGTTCAGTTACGTCGAGCTCAGAGTCTTGGTATCGGGGGCGGCGTTGTTCAATGTCAATGTCAACTTCAGTGTCGTAACGTCTGCGACGAGGGAGGTCGACTTCGATGTGAGTATTTGTCTGGCTGCGTCCTGGTCTGAAGAAGAGAAGAAGTCAGTTGATGAGGAGATGAAGTAAAGCGGTGGAGGTTGCCATGTCAACAAAATAAAGGGCCAAGACCAGTAGAAGACTATTGATTTTCCGGGGACCCTTGCTGGCCCCTGGTGGATCCCCCTGAGACACGGAAGCAGATCCGCAGCCGCTTGCAAGCTACGTGGCGATTCCATTGCTGGGGAACCCTCTGGAAAATAGGGAAAAATAGGGAAATAGGAAAAAGAGGGAGAGGGAACTAACCTGCGCTCGTCTCGAATGTAAATATCTTCTCTGCGGCTCGGACGGTGGCGGTCCTCTTCGCGAGTGATGTGGACCTCTTCCTGACGAAACTGACCGTCCTGGGGAGGGAGGTTGGCGGAGATAGAAGAAGAGTATTGACCTTCCCGTCCGACGCGCTGCTGGGCTTGTGGTAGGTTGATCTCACCCTCGATGCGAGTCTCGGTGGTGGTTTGGACGGCGTCGCTCCGGTACGACGACGGGAAGAGGCTGAAGGGGATCGGGACACGGGCGTCGAAGTCCAGATTGACTCCTGTTCAGTGCGAGAGAAACTCTTCTCGAATGCCTTTCGACGTGCCGAAAGGAAGACAAGAAGGGGTCTCTTGCTTCTTCTTGGGAGAAAGAAGGGGAGGGAAGAGAGCGTCGGTGGCTACGCTCCTTGACTCGTCTTTCCGATTGGGAGGTTGTAGTTGATGATGTGGAGGAGAATGGTAGGATTGAGGGAATTGGAATCGGGAGTTGAGAGTGAGGAGGATGATTGTGATTGTGTTGTTGAGGGATGGAGGAGAAGAAGAAGCTGAGAGAGCGTGGATGGGCAGGGTTGATAAATGGTTGGCCTTTGTTGACCCAGATTGTTTACTTGGGAATTTACCACTAGTGGCGCTAGTGCCTAGATTGGCCAAGCGCCCATCACATGCACGTGAACTACCGAGTGCAATGTTGACGGTGAAGAGCAGAAAAGGCAATGTTCGTAAATCGATTTTACTATTTATGATTATTTTTGATTTTTTATTACTTCGTATTTGGCGCAGGAAATCCGCCCTGAATACCCATTGGATAGCCTCGTCGCTTTGTGTCCCCAGTACCCCCGTCCAGACCGAGTGCGAGACTGCGGAGTTGATTGTTATTCCTGCATCATGACCCATTCATTGCCTGCGTTGGCGTGGAGACATACGCCAAGTGAGAAGCCCTCCTGAGACCAACAGCCAGGTGGCTGATGTCTCCATATTGGTGAGTTCATGCCCTTCGTGTTATTGCCACTCCTCAGCTGGCACCACACAGGCCTTGTGTCTGGAACCCGCACGGCACCCGTCGTGGAGAGAAGCCATTGGATGCTTGAACCTGTTTCTCACCTGCAGCTCGAGCCTCAAACAAACCATGACGATGCCGCGAGTCCTTTGCCTTGAAAGTTTCAACCATGGGCATCTCCTCTGGTCCCTCGACGTTGACAGCATGCATCAAAGAATCCCAGAGTACCTCTTCTCCACCGGTCCAGCGTCACAAAACACTTGTGCCTGGACCCCCCGGCGGACAAGGACAGGAGAACGGGTGTTTCCATGGCAACAGCGCGCTCTCCGCCACGCCCCATGCGGATGTTCCCCGCTTGACCCTATCTGATCTAGGCCTGAGCTTGGTGCCGAGGCTGCTGGTTCCCACAGCAATGCACCGGCTTCGGATAAACCCTCGGCCGAGGCCATTCATAAGGCACAGACAGTTATTGTGCTCGCATCGCATCATACTGCACATGATCCAATATATTGATGCCCTGGGCACGAGCCCTATCCAGAACCTTCCGTATCCATGTCTGTTCACGTTAAAAAGTTCGGATCTCAACCACCATGTCAACGGTCCCCCCACCGCCGACTGGCCGAATCCCAGCATTTGGTCTTGCATGCGATACTCCACACACTGGCAGTCGTTGCCATGGACAAGTTGTCCATCCGACGTTCGAGCGGTGAGAGCTGGCTGATATTGCAGTGGGACGAGCTGTCGTATCTACTGTCCCTTGTATTTTCATTGGCTACCATGATATATATGGGGTCGTATAGTTGTGACATTCCTGACCAGAGCATCGTTAAGGTTGCCCAGTATAGCATGAGAATACTTGCTATTCTCAAGTCGGGAAAGTAGAATGCAATAGAGAAGATCTTGCTCATTTACTGGTTGTCAAGCGCGTTGTCATCTCTCGAGAACTGTGGCCAGTACATGGGACTCGGGGTACTACTTTCCAGTTTGTTCTGGAAGAGTTACAGCTCGGTTTCCAGCTTCTAGCATTATTGTACGGTTGATAATGCTCCCGGCAATACCTGTTTGGGTTGCAGACCTTGCACCCTATGTATCTGGTTGAATATGTCGGGTGCCCGTGCGATATGGTTGAATAACAAGTGTAACGGTCTCTTTGATATATCTTGCCACAGCGCCTCTGTCGAAACTTTATCCGATAGATAAGTTGAATAAGGAAGATCTGGTGGCCCGAGCCTGAAGTATGAGCTTTTGGACCCCGCACTTGAATGATTCTTGCATATCCCTTGTGGTGACTTATATAGTTATATTCTCTTTCTGCCGGGCATTCAATAAGCTCATACATGGCCAGTGCCTGACACGCCAAGGCTCTCATCTTTATACATCAGCTCAGGGTTCAGGAGCGCTTTCTGTACCTCGGAGAATCCCTAAATATATGATTGTAAGCTCATCCTGGTCAGGTCAAGCTCGTTTTTCAAGCGGCCGAGTCTTGCAATACAAATTGCCATGGCTGCCATCTTGAATACGCTTGTGGACGCTGGCAAACTTGGTGGTAACAAGGGCCGGGATCGATCTTCTAATGGTCCAAGTTCAGCGACAGGAATGTATGGACACAAGAACGCATTGAGTCATTGCTGGCAATATATGGCATGCGGCTGCGGCGTCATTTGGAGGACAATTCTAGGCATTGTGCTGCTAGTCATACGGCCATAGAAACGTCGTATGCCCCTTGAAGGCTGTAGCTGGTCACTACCTTGTTTCCAGTCTTCAGTCAAAGGCTGTGGCTTGGTAGCTGATCTCCTGCGACCGCCTGGAGAAATGCCATTCAAAGAGATAAACTTTCGTTCTCGCTGGTAGCCCATGCACACGAAGTTGGACATGTTGCACTGTACACACCGAAGCCTCTCAAGGCTACTCGGCCGAGGTGATTGCGGCGGCTTGCACGAATCGTCAGCTTCCGCCTTTCCTCATTCTCTCCACGGTTTTCAATCATTACTTCTCCAATGGCGATTGTTAATTCATCGTCCTTTCAATGTTAGCTACCATCCAGGGAATTCCACTACCATGATGCAGTTCCCATTTCCGAACTTCACTCCATCGCCATCATGATCGGTTACACCCTAAGATCCCAGATCGTGTCCCCTCACCGACCGTGTCTTCGCACATCTAAACAAAAACCACGGGACGGCACCCCCCGAATTCCGCGTGTCGCTGATGACCCCAGCGATGCTTCTCATTCCCATCGGGCTCTTCGACCGCCCACATACAGCGTGCGCTGATCCTCCCGTGGAAATGTGTGGGGAGAAGGGAAAACGGTAGAAGTTAGGTATGTGAGAGCGGCTTTGTCGAGGCTATCGCACGTGTTCCTTCACCAGATTCTTGTTTCGCATGCGATTTCTAATCACATTCTCGAAATATGAGCATGGCAATTGGTTATTTTATCGAGAAAATCACGTTTCTAATGTTGTGAGGCTGTACCGGTATATTTAGACGTTTCATTCCTTGAGGCTCCTTCACCCCTCATGCGCCTCGGCGCCACCCGCTGAGGATGCGATAGCTTCTAAAAATAACCCCAACCAACATCTCACCATATTTATCTCCAGCTCTCATCTCGCCCACGAAAGAAAAACTTCGCGATGTAGTATCGCTGTGTGATCAGGGGACTTTTGTCTGTTTTTCCCCGCATTTGCATAATTTCCCTTGCGTGAGTTCACGAATCCCAAAATGTCCAAAATCTTGTGTACCCTGGCCTGGTACCATGACGGCGGCACTCTCAAGCCGCAACTAGTACTTTCCTGCACTCCGGTCACGAATCTTGTAATGAAAGGTACGGATTGGAAGGGTGCGCGGATAAGCAATACGAACGCGACTGCAGGAGCGCGGGATCGATTCGAGTATAGTTTCACCGGTGGGAGATCGGTGACAAGAATTTCGCTGTAAGTCTCTGAGTTCTTGAGAGCGAGGGATGATGGGAGATTGAAACTTATACGATTGCGATGGCTCAGGGTTATGAATACTTCTGTCATATTACCGCCTCTGGTTTGGCTCTCTAAACATCCCGTTGGTCCACCGACGAAAACTGGACCTAGAGGCAAGCCTGTGAAGCTAGGTGAGATCCATTCATTCTTTGCCTGCCCTCTACGAACCATTGCAGCAAAGTAGTAAACTAACAATGAAACAGACAAAAAAGAAGAAGCTCGCCGCATAATCGCCGAAGAAATTCAAAAAATCGAAGACAAGAAACGTCGGAGATCTTCCCCACCCCACCGCTCCCGGCAAGAAGCGCTCAAATACTATGACTCCGACGATGAATACGATGCCCGTCGCGACCGCAGAAGAAGGTTAGAAAACCGTGGGTATGAATCTCCCCGCGACTCACGCAGTCACCGTCCACGAAGCCCGGAATCTAGACGCAGGGATCGCCATAGGCGGCAGGAAAGCGCCTCCTCGGCTTCCTCTGCTGATTCTGTCCGCGAGGAATATCGGAGGAGGAGACGGGAACGCAGAAACTATGCGAGAGGGGACGCGGACGCGGGAGAATACGCCCCGGATGTGGGCGGTGGGGGTGATGTGTGATTATTCGGAACGGAGAGATGGAGAGATGGAGGAGATCATCAGATATTGGTTCCTGGTATGGGGGAAAGGTTGTATCCGAACACCGGTATGTATATATGTATATAGAAACGTGACTGACCAACTAGCGGAAATGGATTACATGATCAACATAAGAAAGGATCAAGTTCTCCTTTCCCCACGAGCTTGCTCCTCTTGAACGAGAGCAATAGTGAGCCTAGGGATCTGCGGCTTCGTGGTAGGGATATAGGTATATCGTACCATTGAATATGAGGTATCATATTCATGATCTATTTCAGTAACTCAGCAACAGAGTTCAAAACTACTAGTACCCAGAGCGGCTCCATCACAGGTCTATGGTCTAGGTATGTTAGGACACGCATATGACCTCGCTTATATCACGTAACTGTCTGAATAGCTTCATCAGTTCACAGACTTCCACTATATAAAACGATCAAGGACCGTATGACCTTACAGTCTACAACCTGGAGCTCCAATGGGTCGGAATGATATTCGCCGCAGATGTATGTTCTGAGTTTTGTTTCACCAGACTTGCTTGCATGAGATATGTCGCATTTCTAACCCAGTTTTGCTTCCTGGTAGGGGAACTGATTGAATCTTGAGATAATAATGACAATGACAATGACACAGTGACAACGACAACTTGAGAGTGAATAACAACGCAGACTACACGATGATAACAATAGATAATCAGACTCTTGTACCATGTAAGGTAGCTAGGAGTCATTTCATGGAATTGCACTTCAATTCTGGAATTCAATGCGTCGTGCGGGATAATCCCAAGCCATTTCAACCTAAACTGTGTAGCATTTTAGGTGGGTAGGTTACTTTCCCATTTATATAACTCCAACGACACTGATAATCAATGCCGTGAGTTTTGTAGTTCTTTACAACTTGAAGCTTTATATCAAGATATAAAAGAGAGTTGTGTATATTCTCAAGAGAGATCGGATTCTCACCACATCAAGTAGGAGACCTTTTTCTACAGCCTGTTGTAGGATGAGTTTGTGTTCGAATCCTCTGATAAATCAAGTCTCGACTGCTCTATGTTGAAACTTGGTCTGGATCAGCACATGCAAGAAGTAGAAGAACAAAGAGGAATATCATGTCATACTACACATCTTATCTATATTTTCTCTTCCAGAGGATTTGAGTCTGGTGCTAGATATCCAGATTAGAGCCGCTCCATGTAACTTTTTGGACTCTTGATTTTTTGTTCTTATATAATGGTAGGATGAGGATTGAAGGATCTAATTTGAAACTGCCCCCCCTGCTTGGTTGGCACTCTGACATCTATAATCGCGTGAGTTTTCCATCTAAATACTGGCCAACAATTGTTATCAAATATGGTCTCTCCAAAACCATAATACATCATCTCAGATCGATCATCGGGTGTTGTTTTAGCAGCAGCCTGATGCACCGACAGGCTCCCACTCACCAGACTAGTCATCTCACTACCTACTACCCTTCTTTTTCTTTCCCTCTTTAGATGAATGTACGTACATCATAGCCAGCACCAAGATCACAGTGATAGATTTCATCAAGATTCAATTCCTCTGATTCACATGCGCCCAATACATATATATGGGCTGAGATGCACACACACACGCACATGACACAGAATCCAGGTCTTTGATTAGTCGAGTATAGATCGTTGTCAACCTTCCTATATCAACGCGCTTCTCATCCAACGTGCTGGCATCCTCGTCATCGGTGGCTGCGCGTCATGCAAGGGCGAACGGGAGGTGTGGTAACTGCAAGTTCAGGGAACACGGGGCTCGATGCTCTACGACGGAGGAAATACCGGGAGGCATCTGAGATGACAGAAAGCTTATCATGTACGAGGAAATGGGGTGCTGGCTCTGGTGCTCGAGGTGATCTGATCGTTTTGTGAGTGTAAACTGGCTAGTTGATTCATTCAATATTGACAACGGCGAGAGAATATGACAACAGCGAGAGAAAATCACAACGACAGTTGGTGAATACTGGCTCCTTAAAGGTACCTAGATGACCAGTCCTTTCCTCCCTTTTAGCTTCTATGACTACCAGATTCAATCCCATCTGAGACGCGCTCTCATACCAGAAGCTATAGTCAGCAATACCTGAATACAATTTCTTCTCGCCATGAAACTTATTAGCAACAACAGCAGCATGTAGGTAGGGTTTAGCGATGGTCATCCGATGTTTTATATTCAGGACAGTGTTGTGTTAATATATTTATTTCCCTGAGCCGATCAAGTCCGCTCAACAACCACCGACACGAGTCCTAGGGAGGAAGATTCGCCTTGCGGGTTTTACTTCTATGACTTCTTATAGTGGATGGAGAGAATTAGACGAGGAGAAACACCTGGCATTCATCTAAGCAAATATTCATACAACGTTCATCATCTCCTCTTACTTCCCTTCCCACCTCTGCCCCCGCCACTCTTTCCCTTCTCTCCTTTTCCCGTCATCGCAGCCGCGCCTCCACTCACCATGATCCTTACCTTCCCCACAGGTATGGTGTTCGTAACCTCCTCCGGCTTCCAGCCCCGCAAGAGCTCAGCTTCGCGCGGCCACATCCTTTCCACGTCCCTACTCTCCTCGTCCATCTTCCCCTTCTGGCTTACATCCCCAACCCATCGAGTCAGGATCTCCCTGACTGCCTTCCCCTTCTTGACAGGACCGGGTTGGAGTTTCACCTTGTATTTACACTTTGCCATTGCAGCCCATGGCGCACACATCGGCACCGCTTCGAGGATCTCGTCACCCGGAAGCGCCGTCCCGACGAGCACATCCAGATTCGTCATTTTCTCTTCTTGGTCGTCATCTAACATATCCACTCCTTGCTCCAACATCATCTTCCGGGCCTTTTCATATTCAGCTGTCTCCTTCTGCGTGCGTTGATGCTGAGCCCTCCGTCGCTCTTTCTGGAGTGCAAGTTCAGCTTCACGCGCTGCTTTAGCTTTAGCTTCTGCCTCCGCCTTCTCTTGCCCGGCGGCGGCACCGATAAGCTTTTGGGCAGCGATACGGTCTTCTTCGTCTTGATATTTGTATTTGGCGGCGATCTTTTTGGCTTTACCCCTTTTACCACGCTTTGATGGTGCAGGTCCTTTATTGGGCTGCTGGGAGGGTGTTTGAGTTCCCGTAGTAGGTTGTTCCGAGGTCTGATCATCTTCAGATTCTGAATCGTGATCATTGGCCTCTGAGATCTCGGTTTGCTTTTCCTCGCTGATTTTGAGATCTTTAATCTCTTGTGAAGGAACTTGATCATCATCATTTGATATCTGCGGTTCAGTATGATCCTGGCTCTGGAGCGGATTGGGATGGACTTGATCTTTCTCTTCCTCCTCAGCATCGGATTGATCAACGTCATCCTCTACGCTGTCCTTATCATCGTCCTCTTCATGCACTTCTTCTGCGGCAGCAATTGAGCCACCAGAAGGAACTGCATCAGATCGGGGGCCATTACTCGCATCGTCATTATACTGTCTATGCTTGACATGATTGGCCTTGCTGGCTTCGCTGATCAGAAACACCGCGCCGAATCCGAGTATCAGCTGCGCTGGGGGTAAGAAGTTCTTCTTTCCTTGAACCATAAAGCTACCAGTTGGCAGGAACTCTCCGCTTGGGGTAGATTTTGAGACTTGGTCTGCGTTGACCCACCAGGCAGACATGCCAGCTTTTGAGTCCCATGCACTCGAACATGCAACCACCAAAGTTCCTGCTTGCGACAACGTCGAAGGAGGGATGGGCGCGTCTGGCGTTTTTGGATTGTTCCGAATGACGACTATCGATGCACCGGGGAAATCACCATGCAGGTACACATCTCCCTTCTTCAAGTATTTCTTGTACAGAATTTCATTCTGTTGAGCATCCTTTCCGCCAAGGACAAGGTAGCCATCGGAGGAGATGAACCATATAAACTTTTCGAACCAAAACTGTTTTCGCACAGGCCGTAAAACCGCCTTTTCCTGCTTCAAGCCCCTCTTAAGATCCTGGGCGATCTTTGCCTCCTGGCTCTTCAATGCTTTGGTTGATGACTCCAAAGTCTTCTTCTCTTTGATAGCGGCAGACTTTTTCTGGTCATAATATTCTCTGGCATTACTCCATGGTGAGAGTGCCAAATTGATATCAATGGCCAGTCTCTTGTCTGGCATCTTCTGCTTTGGCTCTTTATTTTTTGGTTCTTCATCCTCGCTGTCAGAGACGTCGCTGTCCGTCGCGTAAGCCGAGTCCTCATCCTCAATAAATTCCTCCTCGTCCAGTAAAAGAGTGACGGTGTTTTCATGAAGCTTTAGAGGCAACTTGATAATTGATGCGACTGGGTTGTTTCGTTTTTGTTCCAGCTCAATAAGCTTCCCAATCTCAACCCAATCCATCCCTTGCGCAATGAGACCATTGACGGCATCCATAGCTTCTTGTACCCTCTCAACATTGGCCTCAATAGCACCAGCCTTTCGCACATTAAGCTCCTGCACCTCCTGTAACCCGCCTAGTCTCTTCTCCTGATCCTTCCGGGCAGCTTCAATCTTCCGTTTCGCTGCAAGCTCCCTCTCCTGGAGTCGGGCTTCAAGTTTCTGGCCTTCGATTGAGGAGAAGAATTCATCAACGGTCTTGTTAAATCCACTGTACTCTAGGAAGACAGAGGTAGGATCGTCTTCAAATTGTCGAGGTCGGAAAGGATGGAAGTCATCATAAATCAGCCCCTTTCGAGATATCTCCTCTTGCGCTTGTGAACCATCTTTTTTCTTGGCAATAATGTATCCTTTGGCAACTTCAGAACTAGTGATATCCTGGATGACTCTCTGCGCTTCTTGCAGTGATCGCATCAAATGTTCTAGAAGAGAATCATTCTGGAGGACTTCGGACGGCTTCAATGACGAATCAAATTCAGTAATTCTCATCGCATGATCTACCAGCATTGGTGGAAACTCCGTGATTGACACAGCCAAAGCTTTCCTCAATGCATCCTGGGCCTTCTTTTTTGGTTTCTTTCCCGCCACCAGTCCATCCTCTCCCCTCTCTGCAGCCTTCTGTAACGCATTTTGTAAACGCTCTTTCGTTAAGGGTGGGATTCCATTATAATTTTGCCGGTTTTCCAGGGAGTATTTTAACCCAACTCGTAATTCCTCTTGCCCCTCGTCCTTTTCCGTGACGATCCGCAGCAAGGCCAAGATATTCAGTTCCCGATCCGTAAGAATTATATTGCCCCCAGCATAGAACTCCAAAAACAGTTTGTATTGCCCATCACTGAACTGGAATTCAATGATTCGATCTGTGCCGACCTGCGAAACCGAAGTGACTCTCCTCGTCTTCAAGAACTTCCTCAACCGTGCAACAAAGGGCGAGGGCTCTGTCGCAGTAGCTCGAGCAAATTCCGTGAGATGACATCGAAAGCCGGAGTCTATAATGATTTGTTGTTTGTGGTCCGGCTTGGCGAATTTCACGAGGAAGATTTTGGAGGAGAGGTCATAGATGTTGGACACTCGTAGAGTGACCAGGCTATTTGACAGTTCATGTGCAATGACCTGGGTGTGTGAGTTACATGGCAGAGAAAGTAGCATTTAGATACATACCTTGACATCTAAAGAAGAAAACCTCTGCTTCATGGTGTTACCGTGGGCTGGTTGTCACTTGTCACCGAGAAGATGGGATATGGCGGGGCAAGATGCATATTGACAATGATTAGTTAAGCTGCGAGGCAATCCCCTGCATGAGCTTCGCCACCGCTTTCAGATCCACTGCTTGTGGACGAAAATTCGGCAGAATAGTAAGAAGTGCTACAACATCACTTTCCGGCTACATCACATTGGTAAAAGAATGCTCCTATATCCCGTGAATTTTCTACCTGTTACAGTTGCACTTTTTATCCGTCCAGTTATTCTCTGGATGAATATTCGAGGGTACCCTGCGGGCTGCTTAAGCAAGGCTTTCAGCCTGTTTCATGGGTCTTTTGCACGTCATTTGCCAGACCGTCAGCAGCTTCTGCAACGACATTTATTATGCTTTTCCCTGTATGACATGTGCATATAATGATTCCAAATCCCTCATCTGATGCCTCAGAAGTGGCGTCGTCAAACCCTGATAGGTCCGTCTTAGAGGGGCGGAAGAGGAAGAGAGACGTCCTCGCATGCCTGGCCTGTCGTCGGAGGAAGTTGAAATGCGACCGTGGCCTTCCCGCCTGTAGTCGGTGCCAAAAGGGGGGCGTTGCGAGCTCATGCACATATCAGAGTTTCCCAGCAGATGGTGCTGGCCATCAGGATGAATTTGATGAGCCAATCGATGAAAATGGGGCCGCTCCAAAGAGAGCACGAGGTTCTTCGAGTGTAAATCCTCCAAATGGATTGATTGATAGGGAGGTACCGTCAATATCAACGCCGACATATTCGGCGCAGACAGAAGCAATCACACGTTTAGAAGATCGTCTGAAAATCCTGGAGGGTATCATAGCTCAGGGTGCTTCAAGGAACGTAGCTGCGAAGGAAGCAGTTTTTCCTATGAGAACTATGATACCGAAGGAAAAGGACGAGAAGGCGAGAGAGCCCGAGACAAGCTACTTCAAAGGCCGTGGATTCAGGACGCAATTCTATGGTCCTAGCTGTCCTATTAGTCTGATTGCCCATGTAAGCCTTTTCAAATATTATTGCTTTTAGTTATGATGAACTAATAGTACCAGTTCCCAGAGGTCCGGGCGATGATGAAAGAAGCTCACCCTGGTTCAGCTCTGGAACGTCTTCAAAATGACTGCAAGGTTATGCAAGCAAGATACAAAAAGAATGAAGCGAAATCTTGGAAGGAACCCCCACCTGATTTGGTCGACTGCGTACCTGAGAAAACCGTTACAGATTCCTTTGTCAAGCTTTATTTCAACACGTTCGAAAAGACATACCACATTCTGCATGAGCCCACGTTTTGGAGTGATTATGATGAATTTTGGAAATCACCGCGCGATTCAAAGCCGGGATTTGTTCCTGTTCTGCTTCTCATACTGGCTACAGTTCGAGATATGTCACCAGGAGAGCCCTTGAGCTTTGATCTGAATGGCTCTTCCTCGCGGCGGACAGAGGCTATATCATGGATTCAAGCTTGTGACGCGTGGCTTAAACAGCAAAGTCAAAAGCACAGGTTCATGGCAATGTATCAGGTCATGTGTTTACGGGTTCTTGCTGCATCTTCTAATTGTCTGAAGATGAAAGAAGCATACTTAGGTGTAGAGAACCTACTGGGATACTTCAAAGCAGCTGGTATGCATCGTGATCCTTCATTACTGGAAGGCAGGTGTTCTGTTTTTGAAAAAGAGATGAGGAGACGATTTTGGGCAACAGCAATGGAATTGGAACTTCAGGCTTCCATCGACCGAGGAATGTCATCGTCTCTATCTTCCATCCCATTTGATTGTCAACCCCCACTCAATATCAACGACGAAGACCTTGGGGTTGATGCTCTTCATTGCCCCGAACCTAAGCCTTTGGAGCAATATACCTTGACCTCTTACTTGCATGTTTCTTCTAAGTCTCTACCACTGCGTATCTCATTATGTTCTTTAATCAATGATCCGAGCTCTCACTTGGAGTATCACCAAGTGCTACAATATGAACAGCAGATAAATGAGGCACTGGATGCAATACCTCAATGGACGGACTGGACAAATAAAGGGCACAACCAGGCATCGTCATTACTCGATCTTCAGCTGCGTCAATTCCTCCTCATGCTCCACACCCCATTCGCACGCCGATCCGGTTCATCCCAACACCGCTACTCCAGAATGGTCTGTTTCGAAACCTCAAAACACCTCTTGGACCAGCATTCCAAGCTCATTTCTTCCGGAAACTTCACGCTTCCCCTACTCCGGGAAGATGTGTTCCGCGCCGCCCTCTCAATATGCCACAACACCTTCCTCTACACCCTGAAGCCAGGTTCGTCTGCACCTGTCCTATTGCTCCTACTCCAGGCTAATTAGCTCCTTCACCTATTAGACTTTTTCTTCCACGGCATCATATCTGCCTTCCCCTCGATGCTCGAAGACGCCTTCAAGATCCTCGAGGAGCGATCCATGCGGCGCGGGCGCGGCTACCACCAATTCTGGTATATAAGTGTGGCATTCTGGCTCGTACAATCGAAACTAGACCCCGAAAATGCTAGCGATTTCAAACTGCAGGCCATGGAGAGAGTCGCCAGGCTCTACCACAAGGCGCTGGCGCATATGGAGGCACCACCCACGACGCACTTGCCGCCTCTCGAAGCGGGGTTTCAGGCCCCGGGATCTTGGTTCTCGAATCCAGACATTACGGGGGTATGTTGGTCCTTTATACACTTTCTTGTCTGGTTGGTGATACAGGAGATGGAATCGCTGACTAGAAGTATTCAGTTCACTCTCGGTGAGGCCGACGACCCTGTTGGTGTTCTTGACCCGTTCGATGCCTCAGATTGGACACTCGATAATCTCTGGTCGATGGAAGGAGACTTTGATACCAGTGCTCTGGGGTAGATGATGTCTAACCATCAATTTCACATCGAGCCATTCCGGAAGTATGGATCGGTCAGACAGAAGCCAGGATAAAAGGAGGCCAACCACGTGACCACCAGTTGCAGATCCCACGTATTCGACGCATCCCAGCTCAAGCGCTGTGTTTCTACGAAGCTTCAACACGGTCGGATCTCAGCAGAAGACGACGTGTATAGTCTTGCCGACACTGAACTTCCAAATCTTGCCAGATACCCTGCCTGCTTCCTGCTATTGAAGGATTTGTGTGCAATCTCTATCCAAAACTAATCATATGAGCCGGTAGGCACTCTGGAATTGAGGATCGGGGTGTGGTTATGAATGGAATTCTAGATGGTCTTCACATCGATTCTTCATGAAACATGCCACACTATGAAGCTTGAATCACGTATATAAGCTCGCAAGCACAGATCATTTTTCACCCAACCATCCCAAACACAGCACCCAATAGCTCTAGACCATCAATCTACATGAAAAACAGCCATTACGTCCACGGCGAAAGGTCTCTTCTAGTCACTTCACAGATCTGTAATTAGACATGAACACGGTCTCGAAAGAGAAAAATCTATATAGAAAATTCGCTTCTCTTTATCCGTACCCTGTAGGAGACCGATAATATAGTCACGATTCCTATATCCAATAATCCTATTTCTAGCACAACAAATGTGATAAAGCTACCTCACCTATATGAACTAACTAATCACATATTCTGCTGGCATATTCGGAGAGATCAGGTCCCGGATATAGATAAGTTCTGCTTACCTATGCTCATCGTTGCGGGTTTATTCGTCATCCGGAGATGCGGTTGTGATGTTTGCGCGAGGAGGTGATGTTAGCCAAAGGTCTCGAATCTCGAAATATACCTAGGTAGTATCTTCAGAAGTTCCGAGTTTAACCATCATTCATGGCCTCACGCAGTCAGTCAGTCAGGTTTATCATCCCATCCAAGCCAATCCGGCCGCCTATCCAGCGCGGTACATACATGGCCCAACGCACCGTATGGTGCCGATGCGCAAAATTTCTTTTTCCCCCCAACCCAATACTTCACAATCTACCTACCTTATGTAGATCCCGTGGACGTTGTTTTAGATAACATACCTTTACCTTACCTTATCTCTCTTGAGTCAAAAGAAAAAGAAGCAGCATCAATAATTTCAAGAAAAGAAGGTATTTGTAGCTTGAATAACCAGTCAATACCAACAAACACACAACATTTGAAAGAAAGCAAATCAGCCCGGCTGGCACAATTGGTTAGCGCGTGGGCCTTTTAAGCCCAAGGTTGAGAGTTCGAGCCTCTCGTCGGGCGCAATTTGCCTTTCTTTGATTTCTTTTTCCTTTTCTTTTTTGTATTCGCATCTCTGCGAGATGAAAAGAAACATATCCAGGAAATTCGTGATTTTTTAAAAAAGAGAGCTGTGATGCACCGATTCTTTTCTTTCTAATTTTTTTTTGTTTTTTGGGGGAATGTACAGTACCGAGAGATTTCGGAGTTTCCGCACGGCCCGGGGGAATGAAGGGCGCCCCCGGTACTTGGATGCGGATAACCTCATGTTTTGTGTGCGTCGGGGAAGAGATGCGATGTATTATTCATAGAGAATAAATGTCATGAATGCGTGGTTGATCTGAAAGCCCGATTGACAAAAAAAACTATAATATATCTCTCATATTTCTTTACATTTATTTATTTTCCCTTCCCTTCCCTCCCTTTTTCATTTCCCCTCCCCCCTCTTACCCCCCCATTCTTGAAATCACCAGGGAAAGATTATTATTACGCTGGGAAAAGAGAAGAGAGGTTGCTTCGCAGAGTTGAAAGAACCGGTTCTGGAAATTGAGTGATGGCCAGGTATCGAAGACGTCATCCCGGGGTCTCCAGCTCTGCGATGCGGGATACTTTCTGGGCGGGCCATCTGATAGGACGATCGGACGTCATGGTCAGTGGGTTTCTTGGCAGAGGGCGGGGAGGCTGTAGCGGAGTCTCATCAAAAGAGTTTGGGAGGTTACACAGGTTGCTGAGATTAATTGTTGAGATCTGTGGATTTTAGAAATTATGTAGAGTACTAGAGAGGGTATGAGACAGGTTTCGAACATCCGCGAATTCAATAACATTAGTTTTCCTCCTCTTGAGTTCCTTATACCTGGAATAACCATCTGATATCTGTGTCGCTCTTGATGGGTCCCTCATCCGCGACCTCTCCCTGAGCAACTCGCGCTTTCTTCCTCTCATTCTCCTTGCCAAGGGAAACCCATAGCGCCAGCGCGACAAAGAGGTTAGCAACCAGATACCCCAAGGAAAAGCCATGTCCCAGATACCACCTCGGGCTGGTGTTAGGCCGATACAGCTGGGTCCCTATCACGGCTCCAAGGTTTCCAATCGTGATCGTCATCGCTGTGGCTGTTGCGCGTTTCGATTGGCCTGACACGTTCGCTGCTGGCCAACTCAATACGATTGCACAGCTGGGGTAGATTCCTGCGGCTGCGAACATGGTGCCGAGATATGAGACGCCGGGTCTCCTCAAGGGAGCAGTGAGCAGGATGATGTACCCGATTATAGCAAGAGTAGTTGAAGCCATCAGGAACGGGGCTCTTCGGCGGGTCTTCTCCGCCAGGATTGCTACTATAATGGTAAGAATGGTAGCAACGGCATATGGAGGCACAGTCAAGAGCTGTGCTTGAGCCGCGGTGTAACCAAGCTCGGAGATGATAGTGGGCAGGAAGAGGGAGAATGTGTAGAGTGGCAGGGACATAGTGTGGTATGCGAGACCGTAGAGCCAGCATTTATAGTCTGCGAAAGCAGAGATCACGTTGGACCAAGCGAACTTCTCGATGTTGGTTGCGTCGGAGTCGTTCTTGAGGCGGTCGGTGATGAAGGAGCGCTCACCCTCCGTCAAAAAGGGAGCGGTAGCCGGGTAGTTGTGGATGAAGAGGTAGGATATTAGCGATACGACCACGGTGAGAAGTCCTTCCTGTAATTCTGTTAGTACTGATCATTTCCAATAATTGATGGTGAGAAGTACGATGATAAAAATCCACCTCCAACCAGCCTGCCCACCCACGCCTCTCATAAAGGCAATTCCATATGCCAGAATTCCACCAAATGCGCCAGCCAGACTTGCCGCTGAGAAGAACAGTGCAACACGGTAATGCGTCTCCGCCCTCTTATACCACATCGACAAGTAGAACACCACACCTGGGAACAACCCACTCTCTGTGACACCGAGGAAGAACCGCGCAGCCAAGAATCCCGCATAGTTCTGCGACACTCCCATAAGTGTGGCGACGATGCCCCACACCAGCATGAGAGTTGGGAGCCATATCTTTGGAGTGGTGCGCTTGAGGACTACATTGCACGGGACTTCAAAGAGGACCTACTTGTTATCAGCCTCTCCTCCCAACTCGCCTATGAAAGGGAAAACAAACTCACATAGCCAAGAAAGTAAAGAGTCAGGGTAAGCAAGTACTGGTTGCCTGTGATATGCAGATCCTTTGTCAAGCCTTCCAGCTTCGCATTGCCAACTTCAGTCCACGCAGTCAGCATCTCTCTCTCACTTCCCGACAACAACCTCTCTTGCGGCGCAGGAAAGTAGCGGGGACATACTATTGCTTCGGTCCAGGAACGACAGAAGGTATAGAAGTGTCAACGGAGGAAGGAGCTTCAAATCTAACCGTCGAAGCAAAGCTTTCTCGTTGATTCCGCTAGTATGTGCGAGGGAATCGTCGGCAACGAGAGACGGCGAATGACTGCTTCCGTTGTCTTGAACCTCGGAGGCTACTTTCTCATTCTCTGGAGAGGAAGACATCTTGTCTCTGTTGGCTTGGGAGAAGTGTACAGAAAAAGGGTACAAAAGCCTCCAAAGGGCAACAGGCAAGACGCAAAGTGTAGCTCGACAGTCTCGGAGCGCAAGAGAGATGGTAGAGAGAAATGGAGGAGGGGGGTGAGGAGGAGAAGAAAAGAACGGAAAAGAAAGAGACCTCTTCACCTTGATCCATGCCTTTCGCCTTTACCCATGCCCGTCACCTTCGATCCATGCGGCACTATTCCAGAGCAGCCCACGGTGCCCACCGCTGATGCCGCTCTGCTTGGCCGTGGTGTTGCGGGACCATGGGGAGGCCTGTTGGCGCAGATGTCGTGATTTTGAGGATTCCTAGAGCGGAAGTACAGCCGATGATCAAGTCGCACGTGATCAGCATCCCCCACCCCCTCAAGTCTCAAGTCTCCAAGTCTCAAGCCTCAACTCAAAAGCCTCAAGCCTCAAGCCTCAAGCCTCAAATCACAAGCCTCAAACCTCAACTCACACGGGCACATCGTTGATCAAGGAGCAATCATTGAATTCCATTATTCTCTAGCCTTGCAGACTAGCTAAATATTTCATTCCAGTAGGCCAGGAGAGTGCCATCTCCCGCTGCATATGCCACCCTCCGATCCTATCGGTCAAAGCCAGTCTCCTGACGGGGTATCGTAGCACAAGCCACAAACACCAGTGATCCATGCAACACCGGCCATGCAAATACGCGCGCTCTGGGAAGTGCCCAAACGCGGCTCAAGTGACACAATGAAAAGAAAACAGTAGTCCAGATCTTGTCGAGGGATGTCAGACCGACGTCGATCAACAAAGAGAAGAAAATGATGGCATGGGGATGAATGACGCCGTAAAATGCTTCTAGTGAAGCTGAAGGCGGTGTTTTTACAAGGTCGAAATACGCTATATGTAAGTCCAATCCAGGGCTGATGGCTTAGATAGAGACGCCTTCGAGCGGCAGCACTTTGGAGTCATCACCAAGGAATCTGCGGCGATGCGCAATGATCTCCTTGGCTATGTTGTCAAAGTCTCGAATCTTCCTCTCCCGAATGGCCCCGAGGGCGTCTTTTAGTCCATCAACAAACCGGGCGCGCTGATCTCCCGAGAATTCGTCTTGGGATCCGAGAGTTTTGAGAATATCATCATCTGCAGTCAGAAGTCAGTCAAGGGGACAAAATGGGGATACCAAGAATCTAGCTCAGAGCGCGCTGGCCTCAAACAACCCACGCACCGGGAAGTCTTATATCTTTGATATGCTGGTATTCACAGGTTTGGTCATTGCATGCTCCACCTGCCATTTCCCAAGGGCAAAATTCAATCGTAGGGTCAATCTTATGACTGTAAGTGAGAGATCTTAGCCCCCCGGAAACTTCCTTGTTAAACTCAGGGTGAAATCGAAAAGCGCGGAAACGCTTCAAGGGGCTCTCATAGGGAGTAAAGAGTTGGGTCTTGTTAGACGAGCGGGAGCCGTCCTATTCAATCATCAGCAAAATAAGTGATACGAAACAAGGGATACTTTTTACTTCTATTAGCAGAGGGACACTACCATTTGGCTGTGGCAGATGTTCCTCTGTCTCATTTTCGTTAGTTGCTTGGGGAAACGATACGGCGCTATTATCTGGAACGATGTCTTCAGTGACAGGCTCAGGGGGTGCGGGGCTAAACGGTGGAGATCCAACTGGGGATAGTGCGGCGACAGGTGGTGTGGCATCGGGGGGTTCATAATCATCATCGCGATCAGAAGTGGCCGCCATAGCAGCGCGGCCAAGGACTGGTGAATAGGATGGGCTTCGGTTGTCTACATCCATGGGACTTGAAGTGGATTCGGGTGAGAGTTGGCTAGGATCAGGAGCATACGAATCTTCAATATTCATGTCGTCACTTCCTCCTTGGGCATGGGAATCCGCATCTGCGGGCACTGCCTCCTGCAAAGCTGCTTCGGGCATATGACCTGCATTGGTATCATCCCTGCTCCTTTCAGATACTGCCGTGGGCTCTTTCGTAGCTGCTGGCTCAGTTTGGGTGGGATTCGAAGCCGAAGCTGGATTGCCGTTAAGCATAGTAAGTGCAGGTCGCTGGTCGATCTGCGTGGCGTTGGTCCGATCGTGGTCTGGCGAAGTGGTTCCAGAGGGCTGTTCTTGATTAGAGGCTGGGAGAGAAGGATGGTTAACCTCTACCTCGGTAGCCGGCAGAGACGATGGTTGCGAGGAATCTATGAAATGAGCTTGTTGATCTTCGGCGGGGTCATAATTTTGGAAGAAACAGAGGATGCGGTCATGAGGATAGAAACAATCACTTACCAGAATCCCCCACAGCCTCGCCATTGGTCAAGTCTCTCAACCTATCCTTATGTGCCTGGAGCCTGTCTTCAGCCTCTTGGCCAAGTTTCTCCATCTCCTCGGCCATTCTTCGCTTCTCATCCAAGTTCTTCTGAACAGCAGCTTCGATCTTTGCCATTTCAGCCCGTAATTGCTCGAGTTTGAGCTGGTTTTGTTGAACTTCAGCATCCACACGGGGAAGATCAGTGGCGAGCTGTTCGCGGCGGAGGCGCTTTTGTTCGGCGGCATTCCTCTGCAGCTCTGCGGCCTTTTCCACTTCGGCAGCCTGGGCTTCCGCAAGACGTCTCTGATCTAGAATAACTTGGTCCTCGGCGATGCTAATCATTCGTTGCATTTGTACGGAGGCTTCAACTTGGTTGGCCACGCCACCATTGCTTGCAGTATTTGCGTCGTCAGCGCTATTGTCGGCTGTACGAGGGGTACGAGTCCCGCTTGCTGTTTGCTTAGCTTTCTTTAAAGCTTTCGCTGCTTCAGCTTCCGCAATCTTCTTCCTCAAGGCCTCAATTGCGATCTCCTTTTCCTGTAAAACCTCGGGCTTCCCGAGGGCGATCTTTCGTGCAGGCGGGGTGCTTGCAGCAGAAGATACGGGAGGTGGTGTGAATGGCTTGCGTGCTGGAAAATTGGTAAGTGGAGGAAGGTTCTGAATGGCCGCGCTTCGGTGATCGGACATCTTTCTTGCAACCTGCGCCGGAGAGTCCTGGTCTGCTTGAGATTCAAGTTCCATGGCGACATCTTCATCATCTGAATCAGGCTCCTCCTCACTCACGTCGATCACCAAAGGTGTCTCGTTTCGACTCTGACCGAAAGGTCGCTTAAAGGCTGCTGTGATCGGAGTATCAAAATCAGCGGCAACAGGTCGCTTGCGCTGGCTGCCATTAGTTGGCCCGTTCGTCGCGTTGGAGGGAGTTGTCGTAGGTGCAGGGCTAGTAGTAGTGGGTACTCGGAACAAGCCTGGAATAGCTGGAGTTTGCTGCGTGTTGACAGGCCGTGAAATTGGTTGGGAGGGAGAGCGGTTTGGGACCTGATTTTGACCTTCGGGTAAAAGTGAATTGGTAGGTGGAGCCGCTGCACTACTACCAGATTTGGGCGGCTCTACTTGGGATGAGGAGTTCAGAGCTTCCGTTTGGCCCGAAGGTCTGGCAGGTTCTGGTTGGGAGACGGGAACAGGAACAGCTGGAGTAACCGGGTCATTCTTCGCTGCTGCTTTCTGGGCACGTTGCTCTCTTGACTTGCGAAGAGCCTCCATTTTCATTTGAAGTGTCCGTTCCTTTTCAGTCGTCGCAGCAGGTTTAGCTGGAGGACCAGCTGATGTGGTATTTGTTGAGGGTGAGGTAGAGGTCTCGTTTGCGGCCACCTGCTTCCCCACAATTGGAGCATCGACATTCGTATTTCCTTGCACCATTTCGTTGGCCTTTGGTTGAGTGCAAACTTCGCTATTAGAAGGGGTAGACGCGAGCTTCTCCTGGTTATTTAATTTATTGTGAGATGCGTTTGCAGGAAGAGGTTGCTCCGCGTCAGATGCATTCTGAGATGATCTTACACCGTTGACAGATTTAGAGGGTGAACGGGCTAATCCGAGATCATCAAATACACGCCCAATAATGGTTTCATCAAAGCCTTCGTCCACATAGGTTTGGAAGCGAATTTGAAAGGGGTAAAGATTGAGGATTGCTCCTTGAGCTTCCTTACGAGCGTCGGCTAGTGACTTCTTTGCCGTTGCACTAACCACCTGATTGGATGCCGATTGAACAGGAGTAGGCAGTGAAGGAGTATTTGCAGTAGAGGCAGGCCCGGGGGCAGCAACTGGAGTAGAAGCAGGGAGATCTTCCACAGACTTCTCTTGGGAATTTGTGACATGATTTCCGTTTGTACGGGAACCTGGCCGTGAAGAATCTATCGCTCCTTTCTGTTTCCAAGACGGTTGATTCTGGTTCTGATTAGGTGGTGCTGTATTGGCATAGGGTTCAGGTCCATGGCCGGGCGCATATGAATTATAATATTGGTTTGTTCCTCCCCGCTCGTCTTGATCAACCACTTTTGAAGGGTTGTATGGAGAATATGAGCCGGAATTTTGACGAACGGCCTGGGAGGGTTCTGAAGGATAGTAATCATTACCTACACAACTGTAAGTATCGGCCAAAAAACACGTGAATAGTTTAGCTCACCAGTATGTGAAGATTGTAACGGATTATGGTCGTGGGTTCTGTTATACACAGCTCGATGCGCAGTGCCCATATACCCAGTACCATGATTCTCGCGATATTGAGTAGATCTATATCCAGCAGGAGCAGGATTGGTGGGTGCATATGTATCGTCAAATTCTCCTTCACTCAGCTCACCTTCATCCACGCGGTTCATATATTGTGAATTTTGCTGATAGCTCTGCTGCTCCACGGGTGGATAAGTTTGCGCAGTATTGTACGAGTTACCACCGTAAGCGGGATATTGCGTGTTATTTTGCGGAGCTGCATAGGCCGGTAGTTGAAAATGATCTTGATTCCAACCCTGAAAGACGGGCATAGGAGGTGCTCCGGGTGCTGAAGCTGGAGTAGCACCGAAGACGGGTATGGACTGGTTATACCCATACGCGTTCATCGATGCATCATAGCTCTGGGCATATTGTGACGGCGCAGGGTGGCCATTGCCTGTCTGTGGGTATGGATTTGGGTAGGCGGGTTGGAGGTACGGAGCACTCATCTGAGGTTGGCCTCCATAGTTTGCGCCATAGGGGGGCGGCTGAGGATAGTCCGACATTGTTGCACAGCGCGGGAACTGATTCGCATTATCGTCCGAGGGGCTGGAGGTCAGTAGTGTATGAGATGGAAGGATTATCTCGAGAGCGCGTTCAGTGAGCAGTCGAGTACCATCTTGCAACAAAGGAAAGGTCTACAGAGGAGAGCAGATAGGAAGGTCCCGTAGGTGCAAAGAGCAGAGAGATGTGTAGAAACAGAATGCGCAGATCAGGATCTTTGATAAAAGACTGATGGTCGTCACTTGTTGATTGTCGAAGCGCGAAGAGTTGGATCTACTCTTTCAAAAAATAATCATTATTAGAAGCGCCTCGATCTTCAGATACAAGATTGTTAGCGCGACGGGGATTGATGCCTGGATGCCTGGATGCCTGGCGGCAGCCTTGTCGCGCGGTTACGTTGGTCTGTTTACATTCAGGACCCCTGGACCAGTAACAGTCTCGCGCCGATGCGGAATCACACTGCCTGTGTAAACACTGTGGACGGGTTTTCGGACATCTCAGCTCATCTCAACTCAACAACGACCTTTCCCATCCCCGGTGGTTGCAGGACTGTCAACGCTCTGCTCTGTTTGCGTTTTTTTCTAACGGGTTCACGATTTCACGATTTCATGATTCTGTCTTCCAGATCGTTTACAGCCTGCTGACAGTCCCATGGCTTGATGTTGCTCCGTGTCGATAACAAACCCGAATTCATCTTGGCTTCCTTGCAATTATCATTCCAAGATGGCTTCGAACCCTGGGCAAATACGCAATAACCCATTCTTGAGGGCCTCATCACCATCGCCCGGTCCGACCGCCCCCAATGGCAGACCAAAGTCCATGACCATCTCCTCCCCGCTATCTTTAACCCACAGCCCTTCGCATACCCGATCATACTCCTCACTGGCAGGCGGCGTAGCTCTTAATAATAATACAATGTTAGGGCATCGCTCAGGCTCAAGGAGTGGTGGCTCGGCATCGAACACCTTCGCGCCATCCTTCATAAAGTCCGAGGCAATGCAACGAGGGGAGGAGGCAGTCAATGGCATCGAAGGGGAGAATGATTTCTCTGGGAAGAGATATGTATGGTTAAAAGATCCTCAAATGGCATTTGTGAAGGGCTGGATTGTGGAAGAGTTGGAAGACAATCAGATCCTTGTCCAGTGTGATGATGGCAGTGTATGTTGTCCTAGGCAAGCGGTATCCTGCTTTTGCTAACTCTGCTCAGCAAAGAGAAGTACGCGCAGACAGCGTAGACAAGGTCAATCCTGCAAAATTCGACAAGGCAGATGACATGGCAGAGCTTACACATCTTAACGAGGCCTCAGTTGTTCACAACCTTCACATGCGATACCAAGCGGACTTGATCTACACATACTCGGGCCTGTTCTTGGTCACCATCAATCCATATTGTACACTCCCGATCTACACAAATGAATACATCAATATGTATAAGGGTCAAAGTCGGGAGGAGACAAAGCCCCATATCTTCGCTATGGCCGACGAAGCGTTCAGGAACCTCGTTGATGAAGGCGAAAACCAGAGCATTCTGGTAACAGGAGAATCAGGTGCCGGCAAGACTGAGAACACCAAGAAAGTCATACAGTATCTTGCAGCAGTTGCACATTCCGACTCGCCCGTTAAGAAGGGGGCACAGCATTCGAATCTTTCACAACAAATCCTTCGTGCAAATCCAATCCTCGAAGCCTTTGGAAACGCCCAGACGGTACGAAATAATAACTCGTCACGATTTGGAAAATTTATTCGAATCGAATTTACGCGATCAGGGATGATTGCCGGGGCTTTCATAGACTGGTATCTGTTGGAGAAATCACGCGTAGTCAGGGTTAATGCTCAGGAACGGAATTACCATATATTTTACCAGCTTCTGAAGGGCGCTGACCAGGAAATGAAGCGGGATTTCCTCCTTGATGAGATGGACGTGGAGGACTTCACCTATACCAAGGACGGTAACGATATAATCTCCGGGGTTTCTGATCGTGATGAGTGGATCTCATTGATTGAAGCCTTCGACATTATGGGATTTTCCGAAAACGAGCAGGTCTCAATCCTTAGAACAGTTGCAGCAGTGCTTCATCTAGGAAATATCACAGTGGTGAAAGAGAGCAGAGCAGCAGACCAGGCTCGTCTTGCTCCAAATGCTCGTGCCCAAGCCGAGAAGGTGTGCAAGCTTCTGGGGATGCCCGTTGAGCCATTCCTCCAAGGACTTTTGCACCCTCGGGTGAAAGCTGGCAGGGAGTGGGTAGAAAAGGTTCAAACCCCTGAGCAGGTCAGGCTAGCGATAGATGCCCTTTCCAAGGGTATCTACGAACGTGGCTTTGGCGATCTCGTCAACCGTATCAACAGACAGCTTGATCGCTCTGGTATGGGTCAGGATGATTCACATTTTATCGGTGTCCTTGACATTGCCGGTTTTGAGATTTTCGAGGAGAACAGCTTCGAACAGCTTTGCATCAACTATACAAACGAAAAGCTGCAGCAATTCTTCAACCATCACATGTTCGTGCTTGAACAGGAAGAATATGCCCGGGAGCAAATTGAATGGAAATTCATTGATTTCGGGCACGATCTCCAGCCTACGATTGATTTGATTGAACTACCGAATCCGATTGGTATCTTTTCCTGTCTCGATGAAGATTCAGTTATGCCCAAAGCTACCGATAAGTCCTTCACAGAGAAGCTTCACTCTCTATGGGATCGGAAGACTCCAAAGTATCGCGCTTCGCGACTCGGGCAAGGTTTCATACTCACTCACTACGCTGCGGAAGTAGAGTACTCAACGGAAGGTTGGCTTGAGAAGAACAAAGACCCTCTAAACGACAATGTCACAAGATTGCTTGCTGCTTCGACGGATAATCACGTGGCTGCACTCTTTGCCGATTGTCTGGACAGCGACGAGGAACCTGGTGCCACTAGAAGCCGAGTCAAGAAAGGACTTTTCCGTACCGTGGCTCAGAGGCATAAGGAGCAGCTTTCAAGTTTGATGGCGCAATTGCATTCTACCCACCCACATTTCGTCCGATGTATTATTCCTAACCACAAGAAACGACCAAAGCAATTGAGTGCTCCACTTGTGCTTGACCAACTCCGATGCAATGGTGTTCTTGAGGGTATCAGAATTGCCCGGACAGGCTTTCCCAATAGACTGGCATTTTCGGAGTTCAGACAAAGATATGAGGTTTTATGTCAGAACATGCCTAAAGGTTACATCGAGGGCCAAGCAGCCGCAATAATGATGCTTGAGAAGCTAGGCTTGGACAAGTCTCTGTTTCGGGTTGGTGTAACTAAGGTGTTCTTCAGAGCAGGCGTATTGGCCGAGCTTGAAGAGCAGCGAGATACGTTGATCCGCGACATTATGTCTCGCTTCCAGTCCATCGCTCGAGGCTTTACTCAACGACGCATCGCTCATAAAAGGCTGTATCGTGCCGAGGCAACCCGAATTATCCAACGTAACTTTCACGTTTACCTTGAACTCTGCAAAAGTCCATGGTGGCGACTGCATGTTCAGATGAAGCCCCTTCTTGGTGCCACTCGTACATCTGGGGAAGTCAAAAAGCGGGATGAAATGATTCAAAAACTCAACGAGAAGATGAAGCAGGAGGCTGCCGAACGACACAGGCTGGATGAAGAGCGTCGTAATGCCCACACCGAAATGCTGAAAATCCAGCAAACTCTTGAGAGCGAACGTGCCCTTGCCTTGGACAAAGAAGAGATCTTTAAAAGGCTGCAACTCCGGGAGACAGAACTAAGTGATAAGTTGGCTGGGGCTTTGGATGATCAGGAAAAGCTCGAGGACCAGCTTGACGACCTTCTGGAGGCTAAAAGGAAGGCAGAGCAACAAGCTGAGAAATGGCGCTCGCAACTGGAGCAAGCAGGCGTCATCATCGCTAAACTGGAGAAGGAGAAGCGAGAGCTGGCCGACAAGCTCGATGATCTAGACGCACAACTGAATAACCTGGCCCAGTCTCAAGCCGACAGAAGTGCTGAGGAATCACGTCTCTCCCAGGAGGTGAGAATGCTCCAAAGTCAACTAGGTATAAAGGACCGGAAGGTGCAAGACCTGGAGACAAAACTATTGAAGGTTGACCAAGACCTTGATATCAAGCTTGCCAAAACCACTAAGGAGCTTCAGGATGTTCGAGCAAGAGAACATGACCTGGCCGCTGAAAACCGGCGTATTCACGAACAAATTTCAGAGCTCTCCGCTACATCCACTGGGTACGAGGACCTTGTGCGTAGAAAGGAGAGCGAGCTTGCCATTCTTCGATCAGACAACCAAAAATATGAGGCAGAGCGCAAGACCTTCGATGACCAAAAGCGAACATTAACTGCTGATAAAGAAAATGTAGTCAATCGATTGCGTGAAGTCCAGGCCGAGATGTACGCTATGAAGTCACAAAAAGCTAATCTCGAGAAGGAGGCAGCCGATGCCAAGAAGCTTTTGGATGCCAGGCTTACTGAGGATGCTCAAGCTGGACAGAATCGGAAGATGTTACAAGACCAAATTGCAGACCTCAAGCAACAATTGTCTGAAGTGCAAAGGGATCTCAGCAGGGAACGGCAATCACGAGACGATGTCCAACTTCTCTCCGAGCATAAATACCGTGAGCTCGAGCAGAAGTTTCAGGAACTTAATGAAGCTAAAATCATCATCGAGAAGGAGATGTATGTTCAGCAAGACACCCTCAGGCGCGCCATGGAAGCCCGAGTCACGGCCGAGAAGGAACGGAACGAGGCACGCACTGAGATCAAAAAATTAAGGGAAGCCAAATTGTCCGCTGAAGAGGCAAGGATGCAAGCTGAGCTCGCAAATGATCGAGCGGCATCACGGCTTGCTCGAGAGCGTGAAGCCAGCCTACGCAAAGATCTTGAGGCAGAGCAAAACCGTGGAAAATACCTGGAAGATGAATGTGCCAAGTTGAACAAGCAAGTCGAGGAACTGAACAAGATGATACTGGAGTCAGGTGATTTCGGATTGAAAATCGACAAGGAAAAGGAGCGG